CCCCCATCCCACTGAGGGAGGGGGGAGTGAGCGAGCGGCTGCGTGGTGCTGAGTTGCCAGCCGGGTTAAACCACGACAGTCCCGACACGAGCAAGCGCCCCACGAGCAGCAGGCAGGCCTGTTCTCCAGCACTGACCCCTGCCTAGCACTGCCCGTAACCCACGGTCTCAGGCACACTGAATTCATTCAGCGTATTCAGGTTATTGAAGACTGTGCCGCTGTTTCCCCTCTAAATGCCAGAGTCGTATTTTTCACCTTGACCAGCCTCATGTCGAGGACGCTTCTTCCTTTCCCGTGGTAAAAGACCACTTGCACTGTTCCCAGGAGGGGGAGCCCCATGGGGAGGGGGCGTGCAGAGCTGGGACGGCAGGGAACACGGAGACTAGGCAGGAGAAAGCGTCCAGAGCGAGAACAATCGGGCTGAGCAGGGTTCCCGAGGGGCGGCTGCGCAGCAGAGCCATGGGACAAGCCGGAATCAGAGAGGTCGGATGATGAAACGGGTCTGTGCGGTGACTGCCTGTTCCCGGAGCCCAAGGGGAGGGGGGAGAGCACCCCCAGGCCCTCCCCGCCTGCAGAAGGCAGCTAGACAGACACCTCGGGCTCTGCAGCCACCAAATGGGCTAAAGCCCCATCTCCACCTCGCCGCCCACAAGCATTACCAGGAGGGGACTGCAAACGCCCGCTCTCGGGTGACTCTGCCTGGATTTTCTGCAACAAGAGGAGATTATTTTCTGAAACTCCTGGTACAAGGCTGCAGCACACCGAGCTGCCGCTGCCTACGTGATAGGAAGGCTCAGCCTGTTCTAAGAAGGAAGTCCTAAAATTGGTAAAGATCTTTAGCAAGAGGTCTAGACCTCATCCTTGGTTCCTTCTGCAAATTCAGTGTGGCAAGATGACAAACGGTAACCCACCCGCAAGAGCCACAGCAAACTAAAAATACCCGCACTGCCTGAGCACACGCACATGGAACCACCGCGTCGCAACTGGGAAGCTCAATGACCTGAACCAAGACAAGACCATGGTGTCATTCCAATGCATGAAATAGTCCTGAGCATGCATATATGTATATATAAATACATAGATACATACACACAGGGCAGGCTAGCCCTACCGGTCCCCTGCCAGCATCAGGCTGTCCCACAGCTTCAGCACGGTCCTACCCAGACTATCATTACTCCATACTGGATGCTGAATTGATTAATGGTTAAGTAACGACCATGCAAAGCACTGACTGAAATCGCAAAAAATTTATGGACAATTTCAAGCTCTTTAAATCTGTGAGGATCCCACATAGAGGAGGTTAAAATCACCAGTATAAGAATCTGATTATTTTTCAACATTTCTTCGTAGAACAACTATGATGTGAGACTGAGCTGCTCGCAGCCCAAGAGGCGAACTCGGAGAGCTGCGGGAACAAGGACACCTGAAGCAATCTCATTACTGGGTAATTTAACGATGGCAGTAATGGGACTGGAGGCTGCAGGCTGCGTGAAGGTCACCTAAAAACCAAAGGCTCCCTGAAAATAACAAGTGCTGAAAACTCCAGAAGTTAATCAGTCACCTTAGGTGGGCTCCTCCATCAACGCTGCTCGTAGAGCACCTCCGCTGCGTTCCCGAGACTTTCCGAGGGGCTGGCACAATTGTTCATAAAAATGCCTCTGAGGCTCCCAGAGCCCTGGTGCGGGACTCAGCACAGCGCCCCCGGCCTCTAGCCAAGCCGTTCCCCGCTCCTGACCCCTGCCTGGATGCGCAGCCGTCCCCGCGGCAGCCAAAGCACTCCACCGCGCTTCTGACCGCCATCCATCCCCTCTGCAGGCAGGAGGATGCCGGACACGGGAGCCCGACGGGCGGAGGAGGGAGGGTGAGGCACAGCAGGGATGCAGCACAGCGGCCACCTCCACCCGGGCGCTGCTGTGCCCTCAGGGCTCCCCCGTGGCCCGGGGCATCTGCTGCAGGCAAACATCAGCCCTCGTTCACAGCTGAGCTGCAGAACGCCCTGAGGTGAAAGACAACGCCACTCCAAAAGCAATGCTAGAAATGTCCTTTGTAAGGAAAACAGAAAAAAAGGCTGCTAAGAGAATGGAGAAAAAGAAATTAAATTCTCGTTGCAAATGAGGTCTCAGAATGATTGGTGTCAGAGCATCTCAGACTTTACTCTTGCATCAAAATAAGCAGTGCCTACCCCCGTGGTGCCCAGCACCACACCGACACCCGGAGCTGCAGCCCTCACAAACCCGGCTGCTCCGCCACCCCCTCCTTTGCACTCTTAAGCAGAAAACAGATTTTGTCCCCTTGCAATGCCACCTTCTCCGGAGGGAGAGCAAGGATGCTTTAACGCCACACAGCAGTATTTACCCTGCTTTTGCTAGGGAGATGCAGGGGAACGCCTGCGGAAGCCGAGTGAGCTTCCAGAAAGCAGCACTCAGCCATCACACCCGAGAGCCAGGCCAGCCCTCGGCAGCTGGGACGCCAGCATTTGCTGAAAAAGTAGTGGAGGCTTCACGGAACGATCCGGCGTGCACAGCACTGCAGCTTTGATCCCATCAGGAAGACTGCGCCTCAGGGCTCCGCGTGGCGCGGGAGCTGCGATGCCTTACGGGATCAGCCGGAGATGGCCACCTACGCTCCCGACAGCTAGCGCCGCTGCGCACCCAGCCCCTCCTGCAGCGCTGTCCCTGCTGCACAACTGCAGCCAACCATGGCACTCACTGGAGCCGCCTCCCAGTTAGGCCTCCTAACACCCCACTGCTCAGCCCTGTACAAAGGTACCGGTTCCATAACAAAACATTTCTTCACATTCCCCTGCCGACAGGCGTTTGCTTCCCACACAAGGTCAGTGGAAACTTCATTACATCCCATATGGATTTTGCATTCCCACTCCTGCTGGTGCCAACACAGGACTTGCTTTACAGCTCTCAGCTTTCCTAAGCAACTTAGATATCCATTTAGGAAAAAAAAACACAACAAAAAACCCAAACCGCACAGAATTGACCTCTTGTTCTCTGTTCGTAGCGGATTACAGCCCGAGGTGGCCTCCAGAGCGGCTCTTAACAGCCCGGACAACGCACAGAAACACGAGGAACATCAACAACACTTCTCCAGTCTTTTCCGTTTCCTACCTCTCCCTATTTTTTCCCAGATCTGAGCCACTGCTGCTCATTTGATCCTTGTCTCTGGCACAAAGACGTCTCCTTGACTCTTCCAGGGGTCAGTTCGGACAGCGGCAGCAGGCGCAGAGGCTCGCCAAGGCTCCCCAGCCTCT